TTTTTGTTTTAGGAATTTTTTTGGATTAAAAAAATTAATAAAATTAACTTAATTAAAATTTGTTTATATTTTTGTCTAAAAAAATTAAACATTATTGTTTATATATGTGCCCATAGAGAGCAAAAGTTAAGTAAAAACATAGGCTAATCCAACGAGTGAATCTTATAAATAAAATAAAACTAACTCCTCATTTAACTCACTAAGTTGGCAAAAAAAAATTTAGTTATATGAGTTTTGTAAACGTTGAAAAATGCAACCTAACTTAATTTAACTTGTTTGAGTGGGTTATGTGCACCCCTAATTCCCGAAAGTGGATCCCCTTCAACTCTCTTGCCTCTCCAGCAAACATGAACCAAAAGGAGAATGAAAGGTATAATGAAAAATGAATCACAAATGATAAACAAAGAAAAGAAAAATGGAGAGAAATAAAAATGATGCAGAGGAATGGAGACAATGACTGCAGAAGAGGATCCTAATCCTTAATTCCTCCATGCATCATGATTACTACATTTAACATCTTCAATGGCATTGTTTACTTATATTTATTAAAATATTATTATAAATTGAGTTAATAATTTTTTATAGTATTTTTTTTACCATTGAATGGCAGAACCAGGCAGCCGAATGCCAATCGGCCACCTGGATCGGCCTATCGTCACTTATTACCTTTAATCAAGTAATTAGGGATTAATTAGTTGATTAGGGTGTATTACCTAATACGGTAAGTATGCTACGAGGCCCATGGGGTCCGGGCCCATAAATGACAGTATAAATAGCTCAGGACAAAAGGTAACGTGACTGTTCATTAATTATCCTAGAGATTCGAGCTTGTCCTAACTTGAGCGTTGGAGTGCCTTTTGCAGGTACCAACCCCCTCTTCAGCGTATCAGATTATCGGATCGGGAGTCTCGTTCGGCCTTCGAACTACAAGAAGACTTAGTGTGCCCTTCAGACAGGTACATCTTCTTGATACAATTGTTTTTAATATAATGATTAACGAAACTACTTTAAAGCTATTAATGTTATAAAAACATAATTTTGCATTGATTACAACAAAATAGATAAAATGTGTCATGGGTTTAATTACCTGATCGTACAATGATGCCACACTTAGGGTACTCAATTAGAATTCTATATTTAATGGCTTAATGAAGTTAATACTAGTTTTATTATGTATACTGCTATTTGAAAACAATATACCATGTGAAGAATGAAGACGATGATAATAATTATAAATAGGATGCTGATGGATCGAAATTTTGAAAAATTTAAATTCAATACATTTATTTTATAAAAATAATTCAGTTAATTAATCTATTTTTTTTAATAAAATGAATAATTTTTTTTATTTAAAAATATGAATTATTATTTTTAAATTAAATTAATTTGATATGGTGTGATTATGTATTTTTTATGGATCAATTTCTTTTAAAAATTAAATCAAACCAAATCGATTAATTTTAAAAAAATAAATAGATAATCAAATCGATTTTCTAATGAATTGGTTCAATATTAAAAAATAAATCAAAATTTTTAATATAAATTAAATCGATTATAAATTGATTTATATATTTTTTCACATCCCTAATTATAGTTAATTTAAATTGGTAAAGTTTGTAAGTTGTGTTATCTTGGTTTTGAATTAAAATATAAAGTCGGGTAGAAGTAGAAGTTTGCGAGTAACGTTTTGAATTAAAGGCGGCTATATATAAGTGAAGTGTTGTAAAGTCAAAAAACAGATTACGGATTTCGTAAGCAGCCACAATATATTTGAACTTCACACGGCATATCTATTCGGATGCTGACACTATCCATTTACTGTCGACCACTTCACATACCTTTGCCATTTCATTCCTATTATTTTTCTAGAATTAATCACCTATACATTATTATTATAATTTTTTTATACTAATAACTAATTATATATTTTAATTGTGTCATATTATTATAAATATATTTATTTTTAATAATGACATGATATAATTAAAAGATATAATTAATTGTCAATGTAAAAAAACTTTACACTGACAATATATAAATGATTAACTCTTATTTTTAATAGTAAAAAAATAAAAATTTGTTTTAATAGTGAGAAAAGAAAACTTCTTTTTGTAACTCATATCAAAAAAGTTTTCTCTCGTATTTAAAATGAAAAAAAAGAACAAACAAACATTTTAAATGGAAAGGATAAAATAAATTTCATAATACTATATATGCATATTCAAGACCGGCAACTTATGACCAAAATGTTTTAAAAATTGAAAAAAAAAAAAAATCTCCCCTCCAAATCTTTGTTTTTATCACTTCCTAAAAATTAAACCAAATAATTTTTTTTTATATATAAAAGTCTCCCTTCTTCTTTCATTCTCCTCCAAGCAAAAGTTAAGTAAAAGAAATTGATTTTAAGCAATATTTTTTTTCTTTAAATTTTATAGTAGCATTGAACATTGTTTGCTTTAAAAAATTGAGTTTGTTTTTGTCTAGCTCAACTCGGATCTTTGAAGCGAAAACGATAAGTTTAGGCTTTGCTAAACTACCTAAGAACATAACTTTTAAACTGGTAATTAATTTGAAGTGAAATTTTCCCTTTACGTTTTTCTAACATTGATGGTATTTTTATTTTATTTTTGTGCAAAATTTGAAATCGTTATCGACAATGTAACTTAATATGGACCCTTGGAACCAAAATAATAAATTTAGACTTTGCTAAATAACCTAAGTGCATAATTTTATTTTGAGGTGAGTTTTCTCCTAGAGTTTATAGTATTTAAGGTTATTTGTTTGCAAAAATTGTTTTTTTTTTCCAGTCAATATTGTAATTCAATTTGAACTCATGTAACCAAAACGACTAGTTTAGGTCCAATTTTACTAATTACCTAAGAGCATCTCTAATGGGGGTTGTTTATAAGCAACTCCTTGCTACATCACTGCCAAATTAGCTCTGACCTACTTTATAGGTCGCTTAAATTTTAGCAGAGTTGTTTCTACAAGCAACTCTGCTAAAATTTAAGCAACTCATAAAGTGGGCCAGAACTGATGTAGCAGTGATGTGGCACAGGGGTTGCTTATAAGCAACCCCCATTGCAGATGCTCTAAGTCTATTATGTTTAAATAAAAAAGAAGTTTACTAACACGAATAACATATACTATTAAAAGATATAGAAAAATTAAAATAATTAACTAAATTTAAAAATTATAAATAATAGGTAATATTAAAAGAAAAATATTAGGATCTCTTTATTTTTTTGTCAATTTGCAATTTTTATTTACTTATATTGAAATAGAGACATTTAGTCGCTTACATTTAAAAATACAAATTTTTTTTTTATCATCAATTTAATATTTATTAATTATTAAATTTTAATGTTATTTGATGACATATTATCACTTAAATGACATAATATAGAGATAAAGATTAAAAAAAATAATTTTCAACATATCTTTATTTGTATTTATTTTCACAAGTGATTGATACATCTTTTATTAATAAATTTTATTTTCTATTCCTTGTTTTTTATTTTTATTTTTTTTATCTTCAAATGTCATATGATTAAATATTAAATCATTTGAATTTGAGTAAATATTGAAATTTAACAATTTCAAATATCAATTTAACGAGAAAATTAGAATGTTATATTTTTAAAAGTAAGGAATTAAATATCTTTATTTTAAGATAAAATATTTAAATTATAGATAAATAAAAATTAGGGGTGACAAAGCTGGTCAACCTGATCCATTTTGGTCCGGCTCGCCAATGGCCCATCAAAAATAGGCTAGGCCGGGCTGGCCCGCTATTTAGAAGTGGGTTGAAAATGTTGGTTAGTCCCGCCTAAATGCGGGCTAGCAGGTTGGCGGACCAACGGACCAACCCGTATTACATTAAAAAATACAAAAAAAAAACTAAAAAAAATTAACATCGGGTTAACGGGTTTGGCGAGTTAGAATGATGAGTCCGGTCCGCCAAATTTTGGCGGCCAAATAACCAGCCCACGGGCCATGACCCATTTTGCTATCCCTAATAAAAATAGAGGATAAAAATTAATAGTATATGTTAAATGGAGGTTGTGAATGTGTTTTTAAAAAATGATTACACAAGGAGAGCACGTAAAATTCAAAATTGGGAAGTTAAATTCATACAAGAATGTATAAACGGCATGTCTTCCGATGGTTGCATTGCTTTGTTCTTTTCGTTTTCTTGCAACCACATTGATGTCCAGAGTTAATTTCCTGCATGCCACAATTTCTTTAAACAAAATCAATTTTTATGTTTAGTAATATCGATATTGAATAAACATCATCTGCAAATATAAAAAAAAAATGAGTTTAGTAACTATATAGAATACGTTGTCAGTATATAAGTTTTTACGCTATCAATTAATTATAAATCAGGATTAGTATGAATTATAAGTTAATTATTAGTTTTTTTTTCTGTTCACGAATGATTAATAGTTTGAACTTTTGAATACATATCCTATTTTATGTGACAAAAAAAATATTTACCGGACAAAAACTTTATGCAGCTATTACTTTCTTCATTGAAAAATATCTTTTAAAGAGATAAGATATTTTTTTTTGATAATTTATGTGTCTTTGAAAGAAATTATTCTTTAACTATCCGTTTGAAAAATATCTTTAGATAAATTCATCATTCTTCTGACTGAATTTAAATTAAATAAACTTATGAGAAAAAATATTAGCAATGCATCCTATTCATGTAGAATTTGAATATATTTGTATCGATTATTATTACGGAATAATAGTTTAGCATTATTGATCGAAATCCTTGATAAAAATGTAAAGAAATTAGTGTTAGTGAAAAAATAGGAATATCTGATGCAATGACATGCGTATATATAAGAAAATATAAAGTGGAGATATTAATGGAAAATTTGAAAGAAATTAAAAAAAAAAAGAGGGTAGGAAGCATGCAGCAGCAAATGGTGTAAAGGCAAAGGAGCCCACCTTCCATTGTCTATATATCCCACCTTTCCTTCCTCCAAACCCAAAACACACTCCATAATCCATTCATTCATTCACCTTTCCTCGATGATACCAGGCTCACCGGGAACAAGAGCAACCATATCACCAAAATGGAGGGCCAGGATCTGTCTCCTCCCCACGTCGACACATCTCGACCGTCCCTTGGCTTCCCCCTGGGCACTGCCCTCCTCTTGATCATCATCTTCAGCCTCAGCGGCATCTTCTCCTGTTGCTACCACTGGGACAAACTCCGCACCTTACGTCAATCTCACTCTTCCATCCCTGCACTCTCCCACACCCAATCCCCACCCTCCACGGTATATCACTATTACAATTTTTAAATATATATATATATATATATTCTATTCTATATATCTTGCTACGTTATTTTTATTCTTATTTTTTTATTTTAATTTTGGGCAGGTGGTGAAGGGTGAGAGCTTGCCCGTGTTGATGCCCGGAGATGAGGTCCCAAAGTTCATAGCCATGCCCTGCCCCTGCCACCCTTCTCGCCCGGACAAAATCATTGTCACCGTCCAGCACCCACCGCTCAAACCGCCGCTGCTCCTGCCTTTTTATTAATATGCATCTTGCCACCATTTCTTCTATTACCCCATCAGCTGCATCAGATTCCATATTTATGTTCTTCTGTGTAATTATTATTATTATTATTTAATTTAAGGGACTTCCAATTTCGCTTTTTTAATTATCAAATTAAATTAATTCCACTAGACACATTCTTCCATCACTTTGTCTCTTTACAAAACTAATGCACAATTAGCTTTTTTTCTTGTCATTTTACTTATTATTCCACCCAGTGAGGTACGTGACAAGTATTGGTGCTAGGTTAGTTTGGTTTTTGTCTTTTTCAACTTTCAACTTTGAGTTAATTAAGGCTAGCTGGCTAGAATACAAGTTGATTCGATTTGCGTACCAGTTCCTTCCTTGCAACACGCGCGTAACTGCGAATTAACTCAACACAATAAACCCCACATTCTATATCTTGGTTGGTAAAGCAACCAAGCTCTAAAATGGCTTGCAACTCATATAATTAAACTAGGCGAGCTTAATTAATTAATTAATCATATATCCACTTTGGTTAGCCTTAGCCAAAAAATGAACATTCTTCATATCAAAACGGAACCCACTAAATCTTTTCGTAATTAAAATCATACCTGACGAGAATATATCCATCTCATCAGATAGTTTTAGATAAATCCAATCAGGAACCAACATGTGCGCTATTATATATATATATCGGTTGGTCCCGATGAGAAGGTGCCGCCACATGTACTAATTAAAATCTTTAAGAGGATTAAGCATAGCATAGGAGGGAAATGATGAAAAGGATAGCTAGGCCAACGGAAGCAATGAAAACTGTGGATACTAATAGTATTGCAGGCGAATCAATTAAGTGGAAGAAGCACAAAAAGAAGGGGACGAAGCGTGTAAAAATAAGATTAGACGTAGTGGGGGATGTTGGCCACTGTCCCCTTTTGCTCGTGAATTTTCAACATATGAAAGGGAGAGGTAGTAGCAAAACTATGATGACTTTATCAATTATGACCCCTAACGAATCATTTTCTTCGCCATAAACGAACCACTTCTCATGACCTAATTTTTAAATTTTTTTTATTATTTTTTTATTGTGGCATCAACTTCCACATGAACCTTCTTTCTTTTTAACTTAACAGAGGCATATGTGTACCCTTCCGTGATTATTGTTGGTACTTGTCGTCACTTTTTTCAGGTTCACCTTCTCCTTCCTTGATTCCCTCACTTCGCTTGTTGGATACACAAGTGGTCAAGTGGCTCTGTCACTATCCGCACACCCACAATCATCAAATATTGAAATTTAATTTCATACATATTATTATTCTTTTAAAAATGTAAACTGAAAAGCTATTTTGAAATTGTAAACTCAAAGACTATTTGATGTATAATATCATATGATATTATTCTCAATATACAAATTTAAATGTTATCATATCATACTAGACTCTATATCTCAATCTAGTATGTATTTGAAATTGCATGTAAAGGTTCTTACTTCTCATTACCAATTTCTAAACCAGAATAAGCATAAGATATTTAAAAAATATCTAACATGATGTATGTATCAATGTATCCCTTTCAATCTTTCAAAGGGGGTCGTCGTTATATTTGATTGGTCTTTATCACACATTCTAGTTATATACATAAGAAGGGGACATGGTGACGAGAGCAACATGCTGGATCCCTTTATTCCATTTGTGTTAGGTAGAGAAATCAATAGACAGTTGCACAGTGCAGATGGTGATCCTTCAAGGCCATCCAATTAGTTTCCAATTTCTTCATCCTTGTATTATCTGCATGGTGCATGTAAATAGAAACATTAGTTATATTATAGGTTTAGTGTATTCGTACACAAGGTAAATCGATAATAGAAAAATAATATTTAAGAAATTCACATTCGATTCGTAATGAATTTATTGTATTATGTTGAGAATTCTATACGATCAAATTCTTAAAACTAAAAAGTTAACAAATATAATTTTTGCGTGGCTGAGGGAGTGATTTGATTATATATTATGCAGCAAATACATTTATGTATATGGCCCCTGATGGGTGAAACGAAATGATTGAATAAATAGAATAGAAAACATGAGCCCCGGCGTTTCTTCCTGGATTTATCGAGGAGCATGGCATCGTCCAGTCTTTTGGGGACTCATAATTGGAGTGGGGCATATATGCATTCATTTCAGCCACAAAATATATATATACCCTGTTCCTGTTAGTACCATCTGTTATGATGAAATGAATAATTATTATATGTTGGAAATCCTCGCAAAAAATTAGGTACTTAGGTAGAAATGATGGATATCATATAGTGAAATTATATATATTTATACAAATCCATCCCTTTCCCATTCTGCTTTCTTAGCTATCATGCAATAACACAATACCCCATCGCTAGCTATATATGTGTTCTCTTTCCATTATTTTGTTTTACTTGTCACATTATATATTGTACTTTCCTTACTTTATTTCTATTATCATTGTTTCTTGTCTGCATCTATATATGAAGGGAAAATAACACATTAATCTGCTTTAGTGACAGAGGGGTGGAGGCCGTGGAATTGTGAAAATCAGTTGGTTAGTCTTTATTTATTATTTAGTGGTTTTTAAACATATATAGAGTAACCGATTGTAATAGTTCCCTGCTCTTGAACTATGATCTACACACGGGTTTGGGTACCTTGCACCACCTTAATATATTTGTTTTGCTGATAAAAAAAATAAAGGAAAAAAAACTGAGATCAATGGCCAATAGTATATATGTTTGTATTTGATTCAGTTTTCTTTTTTTAAAAAAAGGTTAATAGCTATATATTTAACTATTTTATTTGTGAAAATTTTTATAAAAATAAACCATGTTATATATTCCCCAATACAATTATTTCCAAAATGCACTGTTTCACTGCCATCGAAACTAAAAACAAAATAAACTACTTAAACGCTGAGTAAACTCTTACTTTACACTCAATTTGAATAAAGGAGGAAAGAAATAAAAGGAAACAAAATAGGAGGATGAAAAAAAAATATAAATAAGATGAAAAACATGTATTATTTAAATGGGCAAAATAGAAGAAAAATGGAGAAAGTTCTCTTTATTTATTTGAATAAATAAATAAATTACACAAAACAACTTAATAATAAGTTTAATTTAATAAGCAAACATAAGCCTTTTACTATAATATTTTCATATATATAATAACAAAATGATTTTAAACTTTTAATGTTTTATGTTATATATAAAAAATTATTTAACATTAAAAATACCTAAAATTATCTCTATACGCACTGATTAACCAACACAAAATTATTATAATTTAACAAATAATTATGAATTTGAGATATCATTAAATATTCAGGAAAAAAAAAACTTTACGGTATAAATTAGTCTTAACAAATTCAATTGCCTAAAAACACATTCAATTTCTTTCCCGTCATGAGTAAGGTTATTTAATATTTTGGACCCACACTCTTT